CTTCTTTTCCTAATCAGCTCCTCTGCTCTCTCATCCTTCCCTTTAGCTCTGAGTTCTTCCACTTCCTCCAAACATTTAGGCTCTGATGTCACTGACTCATGTGCAGACACATCAAAACTACTTTTGTAGCTGTCTGATTTATCATATCCCATGCCATCAAATGTTCTTCGTAAATAGATCACACGCATGCCATCATTCTAATGCTTCATTATAATACATTAATAAACCAGAATGTGAATCTAGGTCTCAGTTGCAGGTTGACACTCAAGTTTGCTAATTGTGATGCTTAGTGCCCAGGATCAATATTTGTAATATAGAGAAAGCTGTTAATAAAGCATTTTTGGAGTTACATGCATTCTAATATTAAACTATGAACTGTAAGAAATGTTTAATGAATTTATTATTTTCACAGTTTTCATTAATTCTAATACAGCCTACATTCCAGGCATATTAGCTGAAATTAGTTGCAAAAGTAGGTTTTGAAACTAAAGTTTCCATGAGAACATTTGTCTCAGAAAATTTTTTTTAAATCTGCATTAGCATTCTTTAGTGAGTTAGTGATAGAAATAAATAAATTTAGTACCATAATTACGTTATTTTTGGAAACCCAGATGTATATCTGGTGGACAGTTAGAAATACAGTTTTTCACTGCTATTGACTAATGTTATACACATTGCAGCCACTGTCCATTTCTGAGGTTTATGATAAACTACCAAGTCTGTCTGTATGTATAGTATAAACATATACCGCCATATTTATCAAGAAAAGTTTAGAAGGTAAAATAATAATTACTGATTAATTAAAACAGGAAGTGATTTTGAACCATGTAAAACTTGCCTGTATTTTTATAATGTTTACTGGCTATTCATTGAGATCTCAAGCTTCACACAAAAGATTTAAACTACAAAAATTTAAGCTTTCAGGGAACAAAGCCCACAACCGTTTGGTCACAAAAAAAAAGACTGTAAATCACTACCAAAGTGTTTGTAAATCATGTATATCTTAAGTCATACTTTTAATACTTGACTCAGGAGTTTATAGACCCCCCCAAAAAAATGCAAATCAACCAAACCCTCAGAAAATATAAATCCCCCCACATATTACATAAGGTTTTGTTCTATTTTAGCTCTAGTCACATATTTTTGCTTGTAGATAAAATTCTTTTACTTGAGACATCTCAGTAATTAGATGCGATAAATCCTCCTGTGAGGTAAGAAAATGCTGATATATAAGCACAGATAAAACATTATTTTTATCACTAGGTGGGATAATCTTCCACACAACATTAGATAATATGGAGGGATGTCTTGGATTTTTACATCCATCCAGGACGCAGGTTAACCTCTATGCTCTGACACAGGGAAGTAAATATTCTCCTAAATGGGTAAACATTTGGCAGCCAAATTCTTAGAAGTGTTTTGAAATATGTTGATTTTGGGGCTTATTTTTAGAGCCTTTGTGAAATGTTTTAAAATGAAACAGGAAGTTGGAAAGTTTATGGCTTTGGCGCCCACTCAGCTTCCTTTGCTGAGCCAATAGAGTCCAGATTAGACAGGGGGGGGGGAGAATTTGTCGAATGTAACAGATATTTTAAATGATATAATAATAAATAATACATTTGTGCTCATTAAAATTCATCCTGCAGGATCACTTTTTGTAAAGCATGGGAATGTTATTTTAGGGGCTTTGTTTTTAAGAAAGTTTTTCTTAAAAAAGATATTACACATAAATGTAAAAAAAAGAAAGTTTAAGAATAAAAGAAATTAACCTACCGAGCAATCTGATATTAATAGATCCCCCTGTGAAGATCTGTAGAAATGCTTTAAAATAATTTTCTTTATGGTAAGATTATACTCTTTACTTTCAGTCCGACTTCACCACAGTACAGAGACTGCCTTTATCAAGGTTTTAAATAACAAACATCTAAAAGCTGCAAGGCAGCAGTGTTACCCACTGAACCACTATGTAGATTGGGTTAGACTCCTCCATCTTTCTGCATGGAGTTTGCATGTTCTCCCTGTGCATGCATGGGTTCTCTCGGGTACTCCTGTTTCCTCCCACAGTCCGAAAACATGATTGTTAGGTTAATTGGCTTCTCTAAATTCTCCATGGGTGTGTGTTATGAATGGTTGTTTGTCCTGTTTGTCTCTGTGTTGCCCTGCGATAGACTGGCGACCTGTCCAGGGTGGACCCTACCTCTCACCCATTGACAGCTTGAGAAAGGCACCAGCACCCCTTATGACACTAACAGGGATAAGCGTGATGGAATGGATGGATGGGCGTCTTAAAGCAAACTGTGGATGAACAAGAGTGCCGATATTAATGAGTCTTAGTTAATATTTCACATTGTTGATTACTACATTTTATTAGCTTGTCAAGAAACCTGGGTCAGCCTTCCTGGTACAGCACTGGACTGTTTAAATCCTATTGGAAGTACTGGGCTTTTTTGTGTTATTTGGTTACTTTACATAATAGGCCATAAGGGGAGTGTTTGCCTAGTGCTCAGAGCACTTGTGCTCTGAGAAGGCTGCAAGTACCCAGTTCAATCCCCACAGCCTGCACTCTCGGTCCCTGAGCAAGACCCCTAACCCCACACTGCTCCCGGGGGCGCCACACAATGGCCGCCCACTGCTCCCCAAGGGGATGGGTTAAAGGCAGAGGTACATTTCTCCAATGTGAGATCAATAAAAGTTAACTTATTATTACTATTATAAAAATCACATTTGGCATTCCCCAAAGGTCAACCTTAGGGTCCCTCTTATTAAATATCGTCATGCTTTCCCCAACTCAGTTCTTAATGAACAACAGCATAAGTTACCATAACTATGCAGATGACATAAAGCTGTACATTACCACAGAAAACATCAACGCATGGATGTGCCAAAACTTTTGTTTTTGGAAAGAAAGGGAGAGCCTACAAAAGTTAGCAATCAGGCTCAAAATCTGGGTGCAATGATGGACTATGACCTGAACCGATAAAGACACATACAGATAGTAACAGTCAGCCTTTTTGTATGTAAAGAACATCTCTAGGAATTAAGGACTAATATCTCAGCTTAGGCTTTAAAAACAAATTCATTCAGACAGCTGCCATTGATCCAAAAAAGAATGCTGCAGCCGGGGTCTTCACTAAAACTAAAAAAGTGGAGCACATCAGCCCAGTAGTAAAGTCCTTACACTGGTTCCAAGTAACTTAGAGAATAGACTTTAAACTACTTCTGTTTGTCTGGAAATCACTGATTGACTTAGGTCCAAAATACAGACTTGCTGTAAGTGGATCTACTAACCATATCTCTCAGATCTTCTGGCTCAAATCTGCTTTACATACTAGAACCAGAACCAAACATGGAGCAACCACTTTTAGTTCTTATGCTGCAAACAATATGGAATAAACTCCAAGAAAACTGTAAAAGGAATGAAATCCTCAGTTCATGTATATCAAGATTAGAAGCATATTTGTTTAGAGTAGCGTTTGACTGTGCTATCTAGATATTGTAAGCGTTTTGAGTCCAGCTTCCCTTTAGTAAATATTTCTATTATTATGATTTTCTTATTTATTTTAATTCTCTTTTACTTTTTGAGTTGCCTGTATCCCACTGTGGTATACATTTTTTATTTTCTTTCTTGTGTTGAAGACTTTTACATTCCTTTTACAAGATTTTTTTAAGAATATTCTTGCCCACAACATTAAACCCACAACTTCATATGTACCGGATTTTACCAGAAGCAAGTTGTTTCTTCAGCACATTCTATAGATAAACATTTGTGATGGTGGGACAGAAAGGCATGCATCACAAATAAACTACATGTAAATACAAATAGTGGTTAAAATGGAGACCTTTGGTCCCCTAGATGTCATTCTTATAGTTATAAGTGGGCTTAAGTGAATAACCATTTTTGGAAACATCCCCAGCTCTGCTTTGCTTGAGCTGTATTTTATCTGGTCTTTTTTGACTTTGAAAAGGTGTTTGATTTGCTGCTTAAATCACATTAATGTCTAAGACATGGAAGAAACTGACACTGTGAAAAGCACTGTTTTACTAATGGAAGACTTTTTTTGTCAAATGTAAAAATACATTTTTTCAACCTTTTTATGTTACATTATATCACATTTCAGTGGGAAACTTTAAATATTGGTTGTTTATTAATGTGCGTCATTGCAAAGCAAGTGGTTGTTAAATAAATTAATTGAAATTTGCATAATTATAAACATGCTTTTGTATTGTTGCTGAATAGGCAACATAAAATAATTGGAATGGAAGGTTTTGTATAAAAGAGCTGGTCATTTCTCTCTCCGTTCTCAGGCTGTTGTCTTGTTTTCTGTCCCACGTGTCAGTACTGAGCTGGGTAAAAAGGCCTTTGCTTACTCTGCTGCCTTTACATGGAATTTGCTGCAAAATAACATGAAACTTAGTAAATTGGTTCCTTTGAATACTTTTAAGCTGAGAATTAGATGTTTTGAGTTAGACTCCCTCACATGTCAATGTTTTAATTGAAATTTTATTGTAAGTGCATATTTGGCTTTTATGTGTGTGTCTTGTACGTATGTAATGATGTGATGTAATTTTGATGCCTATCTTGGCCAGGTCTTCCTTGCAAAAGAGATTTTTAATCTCAATGGGTATTACCTGGTTAAATAAAGGATAAATAAATAAATAAAATAAATAAAAATAAAAAGTTGCATTGTAGGAAATGTAGTATTAAATACCTTTACAACTTAATCAATTAAATTAGGTTCTTGTGGCATTTGGTTCTAGATCGTAGACATTTATTGAGTACTTTTGTTTTTTTGTTTTATCAAATTGACAAGAAATCGATTAACTGAATTAAAGTTATTTATTGATTCATTATTATAAAATCTTAACACTGTCAAACAACAAACTTATCTTGTAGGAACATGAGCGGTTTAAACACATACATCCATTATGCAATAATATCAATTAATATAAGGAGGACTGATGATACAGTTTAAATAAATACACCATATTTAGTGTCTTTCTTACACAGAGTGTTCTCCTCTATAGCAGCTTTGCTCTACTGGCTCCGACCCATGCTGCTGTGGACCGAGGTACTGCTCAAACTCACTGCGGTCCAAATCATACAGCATGTCCAGTTGAATCTGCTCTAAATAAAACTCCAAGGAGGGTCCTGTTGGGCACTGCTGGAGCCCAAAGGCCTTCCCTCTAGTTCCCTCAGATTCTCTCTGGTCCATAAGAGAACCTGCAGAAGAGGAAAAACCATGCAGCATATGTCTGTGAGAACGAAAGTATGCTTGGGCATCTGCCTGGTATGCAGGAGGGTTTGAGTACACAGCTGGGTTGCTTGAGAAAGTGTCTGCTGCTCTGGCGACTTCAGAGTGAGCGACTGCTGGGTTTATGTATCTGTTAGACTGTAGGGATGCATGTGGGAATGGTGGTGAGTTCTGGAAGGCTTGCTGCTGGTGGTTCTGAAGCAGATAGGTGAGGTTGTAGGGAACGCTGAATCCAGAGCTGCAATGTTGAGAGGATTCTGCTGATTGGGGCTTGGGGCTCTTCTTTAGCTGCTTCCGCCTACGAGGCCTGTACTTGTAGTTGGGATAATCAATGGTGTGCTGGACCCTCAGACGTTCAGCTTCCTGCATGTATGGACGTTTCTCTGCCAGGGGCATAGCCTTCCATGTTTTTCCTGCAAGAAGAGAATCATCTGGTGTGAATAATCTGTATACGCTCAATGATTTGGTTAAAGCAATGGCCTCCTACTCAAAACTGTGAAACACATTATTATGCAACTTTTAGAGATGTCCCATGCCCTACACAACTGAGCCAAATGACTTAACAACATCACCAGCATGTAACCAAACTATGCAGATCTAAATATGCTCATATTAGCTTAATGTATTTTGAGGTAGAGATGATTGGAGTTTGAGACCACTGGGTTAAAGTGATCTCTAGGAGGACAATTGTGAGGATTCCAGAATGTTTTCTACCCTAACTATGACAATCGATTCAGAAAGTCAGACTACAGTTCCTTACTTGCAAAGGGATATATTAGAGCTTGCAGCTGGTGAAAATTCAAAACTCTGTTCTCTGTAAATAAATGTATGAATACAGAAAAGTTGAATCCAGAAATGTAATGTTATGGCCACATATTAGTCATTGCTAAACAAGTTGTTAATTAGAGTGTTGTATATAAGCAAATGAGAGTTATAGACTAGGCCTACTGGTGTGTCTCAATAAATGGGAAAATCTTAAATGGGTTAATCAATTTCAGCACCTAATTCAAAATAAAAATGTATATGTTAAGTTGATTGGTACAGTGATGTATTCCAATTGCTATTTTCCTGTATTTCTATCAATAATGCATAATTGTTCACAAGTAATGAAACATCAAAATTCTTTGTTCAGGGAATAAAAAATATAGTAGCTTTTGCACCATTCTCTGTCATCTTTCCATCCAATTAGCTTTTTAATTATATGGGATACAGCATTGCATCACTAGGCAACCATTCCTCGACTTATAAAATGTTTGTCTTATGCAAAAAATTCAACATTTGTGGGAAACTCAATTTGGTTGTTTTTTTTTTTTTTAGAATTAATAGAAATAACGGATTATTTCAGTTTTTTCATTGAATCAAATCAATAACCCATTTTTTTTCTTTTGTTATATTTCCTCATCTAGATGGAGTTTCATATTTATACATTTAGAGCATTTTTCATGTATTTTAATAGTTTTAATCAGTTTAAATTTAGAATATATGTTAGGTTGGATGCTGTTCTGAGCAACCAAAAAAAAAAAAAAGGTATAGGTAGTGGTATAAGCTCTGCATTGATTTTAAGAAATATTAAATCAACAGTATTACCAAGGATTTTGCTGAGATCCGTGTTCTCCAGTTCTGGGTTGAGCTGCGCCAGCCGCCTGCGCTCCTCTTTGGTCCAGATGATGAAGGCGTTTAGCGGCCTCCTGACCCTCTGCTGCGCCGGGGTGGCCTTCGCTTCTGGACTGGCGCAGCTGGACTCCGAGTGGACTGACAGAGGACTGGATGGCCTGGAACCGGGGGAGCGCACCTCGCTCATCTGCTCTCCGTCCTCACTCTCCACGCATTGCTGCAAACGAGGGGCCGCATTAAAACGCATGGTTTGTTTTGATGCTTTATGCTCTGGTTGCAGGCCGCTGTCATCCTCCAGGTGATGACGAGTGACGGGATATAAGAGGCCGCTCCACCAATGGGATGCCGGGAGGAGTGGATTAAAGGTGTGAATTCTCAGGTTGGTGATGGAGCCCATCACGCCCCATTCAATCGGCCCTTAAACATTTCCCAGACTTAAAACTTTAATAAAATAAAAATAGAAAACGATTCTGACACAAATCAAAAAAATTAACCAATATATGGCATTTAGCCTACCACCATAACTCAATTATATATTTACCCGTTCCCCATTTTATCTACAAAAAATAATCAAATTGCAAAAACAAAATTAAACTATTTTATTTTTATTCTACATTTTTTTTAATTGTGCCTTTCAAAACTAACATTACATGCGTTTCCCCTGATCAATTTGCACATTTACTTTCTGGACATAGAATCATAGGAGCTTTTAGAGGCGGGGAGAGGAAACATCAAAGTTTTTCTGCACGTAGAGCTGGTTACTAATTACATTGAGCCTCTCGGTTCTTATCGGCCATTGTCAAAGTACATTTTACAGGGCTGGCACAAAAAAAAGAGCGCAACATGATCAAGGCGTGTGTTTATTGCACGATTAAAGCGCACAAATATTTGCTCAGCGTTCAAGAAGAAAAAAAGAAAGATGATACTCTGTGCAAAGGGAGGGTGATTAGTTTAAAGGGGAAAAAAACCCAGAAAATTTACTTTATAAGGTTTATCAGGTTTAGAGAGTTAAGAGAAAGGTTGCAAGTTTAATTTAAGCATCGAAACTGCTGGAAAATTCCTTCAAATTTTCAAAATTTCATTAGAATTTTTCTCAAATATAAATATATATATATTTTTAAGTTTTGATAGTTTGTCTTCTTAATGAAGAAACAGTCAACATATTTTAGTTAAATGTTATTTTCTATGTGAAAGTAAGCATAGATGGGATTTACATCTGAAAAGTATTTGGGTATAATCAGATTAATTGTCATCATAAGATCATAATCCTACACTTTTTATTATATAAAAGAAGCGAAGATGCATATTTAACACAAACTGTGTTTTTTTTTTCAGTTTTTTTATTTATTTATTTATCTTTCCTTTCCTATGATCGTGCATTTATTTTTAATGAAAAAGGATGTAATTGCAGGTTTTTGTGTTGTGTTACTCAAATATGCACTGTCCCTCTTTTTTTTCCACCAACAAACATAAAATGCATAGTTTTAAATCTGCAATAGGCCAACACGCACCTGCATATTGATTCTGCAGAGGCCTGATAAAACTGTAAATGCATACTATGCATAAATTACAGAGCAAAATAAATATAATCAATCTATAGATTTTTTTTGTTCGTCACTTGCATGTAACAGAAAATTAAACAATGCATATTTTATTTTTGGCCCTGCATAAGGGCTGATTTAGTGACAATAATTAAATACCTATCAACCTCCATTCATTAGCTGTAGCGGTTGTCTACAGTGTGTTATGGTTGTTGTGTCGCAGCTCGTTAGAATTAGAGATTGAATCCACATCCGCAGTGCTGAACATGACGCACACTCCAATGCGCAGTGAGAACAAGCGCTAATGGATTTAATCAATTAGTTTGAAACGACCCAGCATGGATACAATAACGCAAAGTTTCGACCAACCCTCAGCTTTACATAAATCTGCTCTGATTTTAAAGGTTTTGATAGTTAGCACAACTTCAGATGCTGTTAAATGGTTCAATTACTGATTGAAACCGCCACGTTGGTGCACATTTGATATGTTTATCAGTAAAATAAGTAATATTTGTTCAAAATATGATGTTCTTTTATTTAACAGATTAATTTTTTACTTGTTTTTGGATTAAATAGTGAATTCGGCAGTTTGCAAGTGAGGTGTGTTTTTCTTTTTCTTTCTTTTTTCATCATTATCTATTTGTTTTTTAATTAAATCACAAAAAACACAGCATCATTTTATTGTATTTCTTTCTTTTTTACTTGCCGAAAAATTCATTAAACATGCAAAGGAAACAAAATTTAGAAAAAAAAAACAACTAATTCAAGGTTAATGTAGATCCTGTTTCTATTTAAACTCCTTGGTCCCAGTCTGAAGTGCCAGATTATTCTTGAGCCTGTGTTGTAGAGAGATTTCCAGCGTCACTTATAGTGCTCTGTTTGCCTGATCCTGGCCTGTTTTTGTCTTCAGACCTTTGAGCCTGCCTGCCCATTTTCTGATCTGTTTGCCTGACCTGTCTTCTGACTCCTGTTGGATTCTTCTGTGTACTAAGGTGTATTTTTAGCTATTACAAAGTTTTGAGTCATTTGTTTTAACAATATAGAGAAAAAAATGCAAAATAATAAAAACTAGCAGTTAACTTGTTGTACCTTATTTGTTTTTGGTAGTAAGAGATCAGGCTGATTGTCACATGACCAACCAACCACTTTCCTAAATAAAGAGTATTTCTTCCTGGTCCAGGGCAGAAACAATAGATCTTTAAAACTCTCTTAGGGCCCTTCGGCACTGTGGGGCCTCAAGAAAGGTCACATTCTCATAGGAGATTTTGACCAATGTTTCAGCTGTGAAAAGCAGATTAATAAATCACAATACCATCAAAAGGTACATTTATTTCAGGGATTAAATTAAAAAGCTAAAACTCCTTTAAATTCATTACACACAGATTGATCGTACATATGCATGCTTGTTAATTTTAATGATTATGGCTTCAGGTAATTGAAACCCCACATCTAGGTTAAGACATTTACAGTATATCTCATGATACCACAACAAAATTGATATAGGAATTTTTAATGAGAAACATGTTAATGTTCGGTCTAGTGATATATGAAGTAAATGTTTTTGGCTCCTTCTGAATGTGTAGTAATGCATCAGTGCAAGGAAGTGAAATGTTAGGGTTTTTTAGCAGCCTCAGCTCATCTGCATTATTGGAGCCAAAGTTTCTCATCTTTTCTTTAATATTCATAGCTTATGTAAAGGGTTTGGATCTAGTGAACTTACTTATCACCTTAATAGCACACAAATGTTTTAGTGAATAAAGCAGCTATTAATTCTTTTGTGTGGGGAGGTGCCAAGTCCTGCAGGAAAATTCAATAAATTTTGGCTATCACAACCTCTCCTTCCGGTTAAAAATCTATTGATATACTTACCAGTAGCATCCTGGGCAGGATTCTTCTATACTACAGTTTTCCAACTTACCATTCTTATGAGGTTGTCAATGACTCTTTGGTGGATAATGGTGGAATCTGCAGTCTTCCTGCGAGTTTTTAGGCCATACAATAACTTTTCTGTCATGAAAATGTGTATAATGAGCCTATGATACATAGGTCAATGTGACCCCAAACCAACTTTAGCTTGAGGTTCTGATCAAGGACCCAAGTTTTTTTCCTATGAGTAACGGAAGCCAACCAAAGCCGCCTGTTCGCTTCTATTCCTACTGACAGATTCTGAGAATCCATTGCTTAATCACTGACGTCTGCTTGAAGCAAAACTCAATCTGCTTGATTTACTCACCTTTTTAGCTGCATAGGCCCATTGGCTCATGTTGTTTATTTGAGAACCGTGCTTTCAAATGGTTATGTGAGTGTGCAGACCTTTATTTTAAACATTCCATCAGGTTATCCAAGCTTTTATTCACCTTGAGCACCTTATCTAAATTTAATTCCTTTAACCTGTCCTTTGCTCCTGCTCTTTTAATGAAACCAATCACCAGGTTGAGAGTCAAGTATCAAAGCATTGTCTCATATCCAAACAAGCAGAGCACTCCTGTTCAATGGGCACTGTGCTTTCTGAATGAGGATTGTTCTATTCACAATGTGCTATTGTGTTGGACAGAACTCATATATGGGACACTCCTCTCTGTCTTCACTTTGCGATCAGTGATGTTCAGGCTAGGTACAGGTGGAGGTGAGCTCTTGGGCTGAAGCCATGTGGAGAAAGCAGCTTGAGTTGGATTTTTTGGGATCATCTCTTCCAACTTCTGAATTGAGGAGACGGATTATTTTGTTTCTAAAGATGATGCAATGAAAGCCACTAAAAAGCCTTTATTCCAGCGCATTCCAGTGTATTTTTTAATGGATATAAAGCAAAAACAGCTGAGGACCCTTTGGTGGAGGATGTGGAAAAACCCCAGTAACGAAGCTCTGTATTCCAGCCCCATCTCACCACAGTGAGTCATCCATAAACAGCTGCATTGTTTCATAAAGGTGTGAAGAGGATGTAATAGTGTTGTTTCAGGTAACTATGATTTACGAAGCATGCAAAATGTGTTGCTTTGTGCTGTATTGTATGTACTCAGCAGGCCAGTATCAAGATTATGTCCCATTCTATGCAACCTCTGCTCTCCTAATCAGATGTTTAAGCACATTCAGCAGAGTTGACTGAGACCCACAAGGGTGAGTGTGAGCCTCCACACGCCCCTGTGTAAACAGCACCCTGCCCAGCCCAGCCGGCCAAGCCTGGCCCTAAACATCAGGCCAGATGAGAGGATTACATGCCCCCCTGGTGGAGGCAGGCTTAATGTCGCGTCATTACCAGAATACAATGATGCCCCCCACCACCAACCATGAGCAGAGATAAGACACAGGTTGGTCTCAGACTAACCTTGGTCAAAGTTCAGAATCTGACTTGTTACCAACTGGAAAAAGCCCATGTCTGTAAAAAAAAAAAAAAACCCCGAAAAGGTATTAAAACGTATTAATTTTGGTTGTGAAAACATGAAAAAAATGAATAGCTTGTAATAACTTTATAACCGTTTTACCAAAAGTAAATACAAAAACATTATGATTCTATTTATTAGGCGAACACATCTCTGTAAATAAAGATACTAAATAAGTAATAAAAATTAAGATACTAACCTAAATGTGCACCAAACTTAAATGTTATTCCACAAGGGAGAAAATTCTGTCAAATAGTCAGTGTGAACAGCCTGTTTAAGGTGACTCAGTAACCAGTAAATTTAATTTGAGTCCAGATTTTGAACTGAAACACACAAAAGCTTTGTTGTTGTTGCTTTAGTTTGCTGTTGTTTGTTTTGTTTGCCCAAAGACAGAATCCCTGATGATATCTGAATCTCTGACCTGCCACATAAACCAAAAGATATTGAGCTTCAGCCCGCTAATGATGACTCAGGTAACCCTGACAATCACTCTGCCACTACCGTGTTTTATGGTTGAATGTTGATATAAGTTTGATGTAACAGGACACAAACTCCATCCAAAAAGTTTCATTTTTTTCTCCAAAAATGATTTTCTTTCCAAAATTTCCCAAACATCAATAGGATGGTTTGTTCCAAATACATTTGAGATGGACATTCACGTTCTTGTTGTACAAAAGTAGTTTAAGACATTGAAGACACCATGATACAATTTCTAGTTCTTATTGGTAAAGCATGAACACTGTCATTCAAAAAGGCATGTTTTGTAGTTATCTTAGTCTTCTTAAAACTGCCACACAGCCTGTATTTAAATGTTTCACAGTTTCAGCAATTGGGGCAGGGTGGTCTGAAATGAAACATTCACTTTTTTTTGTATTGACAAAATGTGTCTTTTTTTAAAATAAAACAAATCACCTGTAGGGAAAAACACATTTAATAAAAGCATATGCATATAGGTACAAATAAGCAAAGTTTATACAATAAAAAACTAACTAAAAAAAACTTTAATGCGACTTGTGGGCAGAGGGTTTCTCTTTTGGGGCAAGGATTTAAGCTTAGAAAGGCTTTAGCTAGATTAGCAAAAGTGATAATGCTATAGTTAAATGGGTTAAATAAGACTTCTTAACCAGTACATGCTGGCAAAAAGCAGATCTTAGCAGCTTTTGACTTAAAGTTTGATATTAAATTTTGTTAGGATATTAAAAAATTTATCAACTACTTGAAATTTATGGAAAGCAAGCACTAATGCTAACGTCAAACTAGCTTGTGTGGTGAGGACTAGTCTTAGTTTTCTACAGGGCATAAATGCGATATTTGCAACAAAATCTGAAAAAAGATTAACAAAAATATTGTAGGCAAAGACAGCCAGATATAGTTGAGCCAGATGGTGCCAATTAACAGAACATAGCTGCTGTTTTTAGGGAAAAGGTTAAGTGACACCTCTGTAGGAAGGCATCATAATGTTTCTAATTATGTCTGTTACATTTTATTCATTCATCATTAACCAATTCTTATCTTTTTAACAGAGGATCAGATATTTTCACCGAAGATAATTCTGTCTGTAAGAGGATCTGACAAATGCTTCATCTGAGGCTCCTCTGCATCAATAAAACTTGATGTTCTGCACAAATGCAGTTTGAAAGCTGTTTTTATTATTCATGCAAATGTGGTATTCACCGATCTGAACTTGTAATTATAAATCTAAATGTGTGAATTTCATCAATCTTGTTATATTGTTATATTCTGATGTTGATTTGTTATATGCCTAAGCTACAGTATGCATTAGGTTTCTTGATTTCAGTAAAGTTAGAAACATTTAGTAAAATCAGAACAATCAAGTTCCCAAAAAATGCACATAGGAATACATCTGATAAGGAGAAAAAATATTTTAAATCCCTATACCTCTAACCTATCTGAGTCTTAAAATCAGGCTTGTTTTTCAAGGATCAGTGTTACATAAATTCATACAAACACTATATAGTTGTAATTTAAATAGTGTTTTTAAGCTGTTAAACTTACATATTGTGAGCACTCAATCATTGTTTAGCTCCACTCAAATAAAATACATTCACATTTTGCTGCCTTTTCTTTTCATTTTAACAACATTTTATTAATTAATCTATTTTCCTTCCTTGATTAATTAAAAATTCAAATTAAAGGACTTTTTTGCAACTTTTGTCATGGTTCCGACATTCTTCCAGGTGGAAATTTGAGATTATTTAGTTGAAAAACTGAAATGTTCATAGTACCAGTATTTGTAAAACAAGGATACCCAATTAGCTGGAAACAGTGTGCATTTTTGTGCACTGCAAAAACGATCTCAAAATTAGTAAAAATGTCTTAAATTAAGTCTATTTACCCTTAATTTGAGCAGGTAAATAAGATGATTTTCCAAAGGAATGAGTATTTTTACTCTTACAACAGCTATCTAGATAATATGCACTTGAAATAAGACAATGCAATTGTTTTTTTCTTGTTTAAAGTGTAAATTGGCAAAGTGTCTCACTTCAATCCTTAATTCAAGAAGAAATGCACTTATTTTAAGAAAAAATGACTTTAGATTTTATTTTTTTTTGCAGTGTGATGATGAGTCAGCTCAAACTTGTAATTCATGCTTGCATCCAGCCATCAATCATCAGTCTAGCTCCTTTCCACCTCAAGCTGTAATCAGTTCAAAGCTCCACTCATCCCTCAGAAACAGCCCTATTCTTTGTAAATTAGGAATTGTATTCAGCCCTGATAAGACTCTCTATCTGTTCCAGTGAGGAGATCTTCTGAGTGTTTTATTGTCCGCACTGATCAAAAGCCATGGTGCTATGTTAACATCTCAGCTCTCATAATTTAGATCCTGAGTGCCTGAGCTCTATCCCACATTTCAGCAGACAACAGCATCGCATTTTGCTGTAATTAGCCCTAATTATTAACTGAAAATGGTCTCAGACTTGTGAGACAATGTGTCCTAAACGGCTCGTTCATGGCAGCAGTCTGGGCCTGCTGCTGCTTCTGCTGGATGTTTAATTAAAAACGTGTGAAATGGTTAGACTCAGACATTAGATTATTTGGAGCACACGCCTGAAAGAGGCTAACAAATCCATTGTGGCCAAAGTGAATTAATAGAATCCATTTCTCCCCTTGTTTTCCTGCAGACCCTCAGGGTTGATGTTTGTGCCTCAGTCACTCCTCTTTTTCTGTTGCTGCGGCTCGTCTGAGACCTGATACAAATTCAAAAGGATCTGCTGCTTTGAAGATAAGCGCCGCAGCTCTGCCATAAACAATGATTGCGCTGTTACTTTCCTGTGGCGTGATTTATTTAAAGTATTATGCTGTAAGGATTTGGGCTGGTTTTTCCTGGCGGGCCCACTGTGTGTGTGTGTGTGTGTGTGTGTGTGTGTGTGTGTGTGTGTGTGTGTGTGTATCCTCAACCTGTGAAGCTTACTGGATAGTTTGGACTCAGGAAAACACTCAGGGAATCACAAGCAGAGTCATCAAAGTGAGACCTTTGACTCAGAGGGTCTGATATTTACCATTTCCCAAAGTACACACTGTTTTATGTCATGTAATTCACTTTAAGGACACATCTTGGTTTTACTTCAAACACTGGAAGGTGAATATATAAGAAATAAAAATATTTGGCTTCAAACACTGAATATTGTGCCCTGCAAAATTTCTTCCAAATCTTCTCACTTTGCAACCCCAAACTTTTATTTATTTTAATAAGTTTTATTTGATACACTATACACTTGGTCAGATTGAATCTTAAGTATTTCTGAGCAAAAATTTCTAAATATTTCCATATATTCTCAATTGGACTTTGGTTTAGACTTTGACTAGGCCATTCAATCATAGTTTTAAGTCTTTTGCAGCTTGTAGTAACACAAAATTGTCAAACCCAAGTCCCGCACACCAAATCTGGCCCACATGAGCAAATAAATTCAGGTTATGACACAAATTAGAAGTATACGTTTCTTTTAAGATGTCACAGTTGGTAAAACTGCAGTGTTTTTCAGTGTGTCATTTATAAAGCTACAACTGGCAAAGTTCAGTATTCCCGCTGGAGCATAATTTACCAGATATTGTGTGTTCAAGGTTGTGCACTTTGTATATAGATCAAAATGTCATATTTAGTCCTCAACTGATTCAAATACCATTTTTTTAAACGTTCTTTGTCTTCCTGTCATGGCAAACTAAAACTGAACGAGATTGCTTCTTATAGTTTTTCTTTTCTCCACAATTTCATGAATGTACATTAAAGGAGTATAGTCTAGGTCCAGATCTGTCCGTTTAGGTCTGTGAAGTAAACTATGATGTTGGCTTGTTGGATTCTCACTGATGGACACAGTGCTGGAAAACTATGCTTTTTATGCTATGCTTTTTTTAAAAGAAAAACGAAGCATGGTTTGCTCATTGCTTAAAAAAGATGTACTACTTGCATTGGTGTAGCACATAGAATGTTAAAACTATTTTAGATTTACAGCTGTAATATAAAAATAATAGAGATAGAAATGGTTTTGCAGGCTCCTCTATGCTTCCTTTACGATAAACTCCTCTCCCAATCTTGATAAAACACAAAGTTATTAATAGTTTGACATTTCGGCCTCTTTAAGATGTATGATTAAGTTGTCAGCATCATTTATAAAAACAGCCAGAAAGCCCTAATTCGTGTTGCAGAAACACATGGAACCCAAACCTGGCTAATTGAATAAACTGCCTTTATTTGGATCCGATGTGTCACTGTTATGTTTGTCGTGTGATTGTATTCCTATGACATGGGGGGATGGGAGTTAAGTTTGGAGGGGGCAGATGGATCTTTTGAACGTCCACTCCAGGATACAGCTGCATATGACTAATTTCAAACTCCCCCTTCTAGGGGCCCTATGCAAAGCCATTTCACAAGTAACACACATCACCAGGCATCTGTTTCCTGTTTTCATTCTTTGAGTTATCTTATTTTCCTTATTTCCCCCTCACCTGTTACAGTTCAAGTTCCTTCCATCATGCAGCTTTACCAATATACAAGGGCATTCAAAACAAAACATGTAATCACTTTCAACATAATGTTTATTCTGGGTAAATATAAAGAATGTTTTTAATGCGAACAACTATGAGGAGTAATATTTCAGCAGTTTCTCATCGGTTGGTTTCAGTATCTTCTTCTCTGGCATGTTAACGACCCAGCCTGGAGACAGGCCAAAGAAGATCTGTCGAACATCCTTCCTCATGGCCAGCATGTGACACAGTTCATCCTTTGAAATATCTGGCAGCACGTAGCCGTACTTCTGCGCCAGAGCGCGGCGGGCCTGCTGGATTTCTTCCGGATCTGCTAAGTAACCTCGGTTTTCAGCACTCATGTAATATGGAACCATGTCCTCCCCTGGCAGCATACGCCTCGGGATCGGCTGCCCTCTCATGAAGAATGGGACGGGCTTGATAAGGATTCCTGTAAAAAATATATACATTTATTCCCACACTTTCCATAAACAAACACTATACAGTATTAAATTTGTTGCATTATAATTGTTTGTTAGTTTACCGAGACTTATGGGATCATAGAAACTGGTGGTGATGACGCCTCCGTTCCGTTCGATGGCAGCTATGGCTCCTTCAGACGCTCTCTGAACCTCAATGTTGATTTTAGCTGCAAATATTTCTGAGCCCTGAAAGAAGTAAAAGTACATCTAAGCTGGAAAAGGGTCAACATCAGAGTCAATAAGCCACCTTTCCATTGGATAGAACCCCATCATGTGGCGCCCCCTGCTGCTGGTAATTGATCTCCTTGAAACCCACAATTATCTCCCTGTTATACACACTGAAATGGTTTTAAGTGGTTTTGTCTTTCATGCTTTGCTACAAAAAGTGGAACTCAGTGAAAATATTTTTGTCAGATTTTCTCCAATACATCTATTTGTTGTATATATTTAAAACACCCAACTTTTAAACACTGCTACCAAAAGCTAAATACCCATTATTTATTCAACAATGTGGTTTTGCTTAAAAGAAGCGCCTTAAAAGGTTATTCAGGAATTTGTCCAAGAGTTAAACACAAAGCTAAATGTAATTTTAAGGGATTTTAAATAAAAAAGAAACCCAAAATAGTATTTGATTGCCAAGAGAAAAAAAAAGTGATGCAAGCCTCCCACCTTTTTATAGCATGTGCACAAATGAATTGCATACCCAAACATCATTGGGCATCATTGGGCATTTTAAATCATACATTCTTGTGATGCATCTCATTTGAAAGGTATGATGTCTCAGTTTTGGCAGATTTGTGTACTTAGGTGTAAGTCTTACACAAATTGCGGTATGTAACTTCAAACGTGGAAAATAATTTTTTCCCTTGCATAAAAAAAATGCAATTTTTAATATTCTATATTTGGGTATAATTCATAGTTGAACTTTCCAACTCACAACACTTGTTGCTAATGTTGTGAAAAACAACTGTCAGATCTATGGTCCAAAGCAATGTGAAACTGTCACCCTTTATGTATTAAAAAGGTCCATTAGGCATAATTGAACCAAATTAGAACCAAAAGCAGATTATTTCTTTTTTTTGGACCAATTTACAAAAAAATACACATTTCTACATGTAGCTTTACACACATTTTTATTGAAGCACTTTTAATAATAATTCAAATTTCCAACTTTTCGAATTTTGACTATGCTTTTTTGTGTGCATCCAATTATTTCTCCTCTCCCTCCTTTCACACATAAACCTCTTTTCAGCCTGCCCCTATATGTCCAATACTACATCGCAAAGCTTCTCTTACTGGCTAACAAAATATGTCAAATATGTCAAAGTTTGGTAGGTCACTGATTTGTGGAGTTCCAGCTGTGCAAAGACTAGTGACGCATGCGCCTGAGGATGGGGTTTCTTACGTGCAGAACTTTTCCGAGGCATTCTGGGTACTGAGGAAGGAGCTGATGCTTGATTTTGATTGGTGAGTAAGCCCAGGTAGCATAGTTAATTAGAAATGGCTGACATATTCATGAAAATTAGCTTTTATTCAGAGCTGTTACAGGCAAAATGAACCCTTTTATGACAAAAGAATATGTTTTAGAATGTCAGTAAATGAAAACAGGGTAAGGGGTAAAAATTGAGTTCTAATCTGGCCTAAAATTTTGTTGGTATTTTTAGGAAAGCCTGATTCTAAAGAGGTACATGTTGGGTTTTGTTAGCAACCTTGCTGTTAGATGTGGAAAAAGATGTGATGTAAAGACATCCCAGGGCCATGCGGTGGCAACTAAGGGGTTCAATTCTTTTTGTACAGATTAAAAACTGAAAAGTGTGGTGTGCATTTATTTTCTATCCCTAGAGTCAACACTCTGTCGACCCTTTTTTCTCCCCTGTCCTCTTTAAAGGATATAATTCATCAGGTACTAATCAAGCAACGACATACCTCATCAACAAGCTGCACTCCATAGTCCCTCTTCAGAGGCTGGATGGTCACTCCCCTGGCATTGACAAGCTGGGTGAGGTCTATTGGCTGCGTTGGGTCAACCCGCCCCAGATCAATCAAATACTGCAGTCGTTTCAGCGTCAAAGGCTGGTACTGTGGACGCCGACTAGGAAGGAAGAACAGAAACTGCTTAGAAACTTTTATTTCTAGGATTACCAAGCACAGCTTTAATGAAAAAGAAGTTGCTACTTGATTCTATTTAGCAGTTGTTTTAATGCAGGCATTTTAAGCAAAAACAACATTATTTTAGGATGTTTTTAGTTTACAAAAGCTTTATCAAAGGTCCATAGACTGAATTTGAAGACTAACCGATATTAAAACAAAGAGCTCTGCGTGAAGGGAAACTCCTCTGAGTCTGTTCCCAGGCAACCTTCAGCATCCAGAAGGGAAGCACAGCCCTCTACAGGTGAAAATGAGGAGAGCACTCTAGATGCTTCCCTGCCAAATGCTAAAACATCCCCAGCCAGGTCCTCCCAGCCCCCTTACGCTTCCACACCTCCTCCAGCATCATCTGTCGCTGCTAAACCTGCCGATGGCACCACTGCTTCTTCAACCACGTCAGCCTCAACCCAGGGGGCTACCACCCTCACAGCCTTGTCATCATCGTCCTCTTCCTCCCCTGAGCCAGGAGAAACAAGTGCTTCAGGAGCTGGAGGCAATAGTAGCAGCTCAACAACAACTGATGGGGTGAAGCCCAGGCAACAGGCCCCTAAAGCTCCAGCATCAGATCCTTTTCCACCTGGGTTAAAAGCCTATTTGGATGCTAAGATCCTATCCAGATCTGTCTGACATCACTTCTGCTAAGCAAACATTAATGATCCGCATTCCATAACTAGATATAGTGACTTAATATCACAATGTTGTTTTTTTTTTTAAATCACTGCTGCTTATCTTATCAAGGCTGCACTTTAAAAAATTATATTGTCTAGAGAGCTGTTCTAAACGAAATTTCTTTTTTGTTTACACTTGTGTATACAAAATGACAAAATAAATCTGTCCAAGTTACAGAAAACTGCACATTGAAATCAGCATCTTTACCAAGTAGATTTGTACAAATATTCTGATTGTCTCTGAACTGCCATCAGTGTTTCAGGCCTATGTGTAAGAATCTGAGAGTAAAGTGTTGCTCATTAATAAAATTTGCATGAGCGATGCACCGGTCAGAAACTGACTTTTTGGACCTCATGTCCCTCCGTCAACGGACTAAACTCTTCCCCACTTCCTCACCGCCTCGGCCGTATCTAGACCCACAGTGTATAGCGCCACCGCAGCACGGGAGGGAGAATTACGTCCAGGAGCAAATGGATAACAATAGCCCGGAGGAGAAAAAAAAAACAAAAAAACATTAATCGATACTCTTACGGACGTATCAATGCATCGGATCGTCGGCTGTTGGATCAATGCATCGAAACGATTATTATTTACACCCCTAATACCCCATAACATCTTAGACAAAAAGAATAATTAGAATTAAAAAGGTATAGTGCAAGATTTTTCCAGAGATACTCTGTTTAAAGTCTGTTTGCATCACTCTAATGAGAGCAGTGGAGCTACAATGAATGGCTCATTACAAAAACACTAAAAGTGCACATGTGCAGAAAAAAGGAAAACCTGACTGGAAAGGAGAACGCACAATGGCACTAGACGAACATGTCGGTAAGACTGACTAGTAGAGAAAGCGTTTATAAGATGATGCCGCAAAACTCCAAGATTTTCCACAATATCATAAAATTAATGCAATTCTTATTTTTTATTTTGTTTTATATTAAAGGTTTGGATCAAGGAAAACTGGTAATGGCAGCTGACAGCTTTAGAAAAACACAGATAGGCTGAATTAATATTCACAATTATGTTTTCAATTTAACAAATAATTCCCCAAAAGTCAAAAGCTTTGGATGAATTGATAACTAGGATCGTAGTGAGCTTGACTCTGAATTTCAGGAATAGTGAAGGTAGAATTTTCCAAAGATAACTGCATCTATTTATGCTGAATATACTTAATCTCAGACCTCTGGTGGAATATCACCTGTTAAACATTAATAAAACTTTAGCTTGTGTCTAGACAGAAAAAAAGAATTAAACATCACTCTAAACAAATGATCTGAAGGTTAACTGGTAAATACAAAATGCACCAGTTTGTCAAATAAGAGCAATCAGTGCAGTCCTTATCCTTTGTGGCAATAATAATATGGACGTGACGATCAGCGGATAGTATAGCTAGTTGTTGACCACTGCTAGTGAAGCCACACTGTGCATCACGGTTGGTTGTAATGACTTGTGAAATCACTTACTTACAGATACAATGTAGTGCTCAGTATTCAGTGACCTAGAAAGCATCTTCCAGTGAAACCTTGCTTTCAAAATTCTGTGGTCTGATTACTACAAGTGCTGTTATCAATCTTTGTAGTTTTACCTTAAATTTGGCCACTGAATTCTNGTCCTCTTTGCTCAGTCTACTATGAATACTCTCCTTGTGCAGTTCCTCAGTGCTGGTTCTTCATCTTACCCTGGCTCATTGTGACTGTTTTCCCCTGATGTCGCCATGGTTCTGGTTTGTTTTACATTTTTCATGTTGGATTTTTGGATTCCCGCCTCTGTTACCTGTGTTTATTCAATTAAATCTTCAAGAAACTCACCCCTGCCTCTGTATTTGGGTCCAAAAACCTCAACCAAACCCTGACATACGTGTACTTGTGTTTTCCTCAGCAAATTCAACCCTCTGAAAATTGATTTAATTCATTTGTATTATTTCATTGGAGAGGTTCAGATTAACTTTATAGATATAACAATTTGGTTCACAAAAGGTTATGGAAATGGTATTTAATCTCTTATATTGTATATATTGCATATTCCACTGTCGGTAGATTGCAATGAGTGATTAAAATAGCTGATTAAGAATTGTTATTTACTTTTTATTTGGAATTCAGGAAGTAATTTATACAATTTAGAAGTCCTGAAAATCTCAATGAGCTATGATGAAGTTATAAGCAATAGCAAGTGAAAAGTGGTTGAAGATGTGTTCCTATAGTTTTACTACTAAGACAGTGATTTAAAATAGTGACATCTTCATTCATATTTATCCTAGAACAATACTCTTGGTATAATTTTAAAGCTGTTGGGCCACATATTCCTAAGATGTCTTATTTTAAGTAATGTTGAATTTATTTGTCACATACCTACTAATAATAGAGGTAACCTTGTCAAATACCCAGGGTTTAGTCTCCTTAAGTTTAAAAGGAGTTTTATTTTTACCTGTGGCCTTCATTGAAGCCATATTTGGGAACCACCAAGTAGAAGGGGGTCTGCCCCCCCTCAAAGCCCAGCCGAGGTATGTTCCCCCTCTGCCGCTCTCCTTTGTGGCCTCTACCGCTCCTGTTCCCCCCGTGCTGTCCTCTGCCTCGCCGCTTATCCTGCAACACAACATTGACGTCACATCAGCTCATTCACGCTCACATAACCCAGGCAACTACTTGCTGAAAATGTCTGTAAAAAATGGTTGTTGAGAATACCTATAGTGCAATATGGTTGCTCTGTAATGTTCTTTGCAGAAACAAATAAAGTTGTATTGAGAAAAACAATAAATAATAACTTAGGCAACTGTTACATTACATCTGCTGCAGCCATGCTAGCTCGTAGCATCGATACATGGTGTAAAAAAAAAAAGAACTCACCGCTTTCTTTGATCCTGGTTCCGGTCGTAGATTCGCTAAAGATATTCTAGGTAGATTCTGCAAAACATCCAAAGCTTTAGCGCCGGGTTTTTTAGTGAGAGACATGTTTGCTGCTGCTCACATGTCAAAGCTAGCAAACCAAGGACACAGGGGTCACGTGACAAGCCAGGAGAGGATGTGTTTGTTGTAAGAATTTCAAAGTAAAAGCATAAACTCTCCATCCTTAAAGGCCGCGAAAATAAGAGATGGGATGACTAGTTACATTTACTCAGTTACTATAAAAAGGAAGTACTTTTCGGAATAATATAACAGCATAGTACTTTTTACTGATTATTGCTTAAAGCTGATTATTAATGATCATAAATTAATGCTCAAGAAATCATTAAGAATGAATGATTAAAGGATTACTAGGAATTCTGTATCACACAAACAAGTAAAGCAGACTACAATATTTAAAATAATCTATTACTTCAACCCCCCCACCCCCCACCCCCAAAAAAGTTAAAAATATATAAAAAGATAACATGTAGAAGCCAGCCCTTGCACGCAGCGCCTTCATAGTCCGTTCCGAATGCAAATATCGGCTATTTAGAATGTTAACAATTATTGTGTATGTGTTGGAATTAACTTAGTTTAGATTGTTCCAGAGAATTTTTTACAGAAAATTTAGTCTAAAGGTTTAAATTCACCAGCAATTTAATTTAACAACCATAGACCTTTTTCCTTCAATCAAGCCATGTATTGCCTACTATTTGATGATACATTTGGGCCACTTATCATACAATATAGTACACGGTATAACTATATTAAGCTTGTATAATGCTACTGTTATTTGTTATATCTAAGATAAAGACAATACAAATAGTGATGATGGAGATACCAGAGATCTGAAGGATACAACACAGATAGAGGATAAAGAATAATGATGATGAAATCAGGGAGGAAGAAGTTAAAGACACAAAACAGACAAATATTGATATGAGGAAAATGGTGACAAGTCGGTGTATGGAACAGAATGGCAATAGATGAGGATGAGGAAGATTGGACAACAGTTTCAAATAGGAAAGAGAGAGATAGAGGAGGGAAAAGGAGGAAAGGGGGATTGAGAATCAAGGAAATAAACGGGAATTAGACAAAAGCAGTTGAAGAAGGAGTTGTGCGAACGAAGATTGTCAGAGAAGAGCTAAAAGTAATTTTTAGATTCAATGCAAGGGGAAAAAAAGTCATTTGAGCCCATTTTGATTTCCAGAGAAATAATTAAGAAAATTGGGGAAGTCGAAAGAGTGAAGATTTGAGAGATGGAAAAAAGCAAAATAAAAAACATTTGATGTTGAACACCCAGGGAAAAGAGAGGTGACACAGATAAAAGTGAAAGGACAGTAATAACAGGGATACCAATTAACGAGGATTTAGATTGATTAAAGATGAAAATTTTTGAGGCAACGTTAACAAAATACAGAGACTTTATAAAAACATACAAGGTAAAAGGTGTGGCAAGCATGTCACTGCTGATAGAGTTTCCAGAGTCAGTTCTACCAGAGAGAGTTAAAATAGTTAAAACAGTTAAGCCCTTCATTCCGCCTCCACTCAGGTGCTACAGGTGTCAGCGCTATGGACACATGGCAGCAGTCTGTAGGGGAGGGCAAAGGTGTTCAAAATGCAACTATGAAGGATGTGAGGTGAGAAAGAAGGCAGTGGAGATACAACAGGTTAAAATAACAACAAATATAATCTACACACAATCAGAGAAGAGAGTTCTAGGACAAAGGACTGGAGAAATCAATCAAATATGGAGAAATGAATCAAATACAGAATCAGGTACAAAAGCAAAATAAAGCAGAAAGAGAAGTTCATTTCGTTCCAACACCAGAGAAACTCATTCTATTCACAGTGCATGTCAATATTAACTGCACAGACCAACCCAAGCATAAGACAGAGAAAATCAGAATCATTGCCAGAGGAGCTGAAAAGTTTTTGGGACTCAAAGAAGTTATTTGTGTAACATGGTTGGAGATGGATGGAAGAAGTAGAACATCTGGTGGAAGAAAAGAAACATCTGGGTATTGGTTCAGGTGTTCATTATACAAAACAATTTAAGATATTTAATAGTAAATCGACAGTGATTTAATTAATATATGGATGGGTTAGAAAATGTAATAAAATTAATAGATAAAAGGGACAGTAGAAGAATATAGTATTTAAATTAAGAATGAGACATAAAGGTTTCTAATTGTTTATAATTTTTAATTATTAATAACATTAATATCAGATAAAGATAGAGGATGTTCGATTATTATATTTAGGATATAAAGTAAAGCAGGTAATTAGCTAGAATACTGTCATTTTGTTCCACAATCCATACCGGTAGGTGGCGATAATGTGCATTTAAGTTATTTGCTAACCGCTATTAAACCTCACAAAGAAGAACCAATCAGATTGCTCCGGGGGCGGGGCTAAAGCGGTCAGACACTACAGCTTGTTGTAGTCAGGCAGACCTGGGAGCTTCTGGAGGGCCGATACAACGGATTTTCATCTTCCAGAAGGAAAATCTGGATTCAGTTAAACAAGCCGGGTAGCTCACAGCTGAAATATTCTCCTTCGTCTTTGGGTTTATTGCTGTGTAAAGTCCTACTTGGTGTCAGTATTGAGCCGAGAGGGGCTAACTTGTAGCTGCCTCAGAGCTGTATGTGCGGTAACAACATGTCAACTCCTCTACCTGCCATAGTGCCTGCTGTCCGGAAAGCAACCGCGGCGGTGAGTTTATCGAGCCCTCCTCTGACAGGTCGGAAAAAAATACAGCTGCTGCTTCATGCTGGCAGCTGTCAGTCCATACCTGCATGGTTTTAGACCTGTTTGTTCTGTTTTATAGGTCATTTTTCTGCATGGCCTTGGTGATACCGGGTATGTGAAAACCTCATAGAATTGTTGATATTAAAGGTGAGCCGAATATGTTTCACTTGAGTTTATTTGTTGTTTAACATTTGATAGGCATGGCTGGGCAGAGGAATTCGCGGGCATCAGAACACCTCATGTGAAATATATATTTCCTCATGCGTAAGTCCTCATATTCTATTGGCAGAATAGTTTTATTTTAATTCACATTAACTGATGGAAACCTGTCTTAACCTGCAGTCCCACCATGCCAGTTTCTCTGAACATGAGGATGTCCATGCCTTCCTGGTGAGTGTCTCAGTCCATTCCCTGATTTTAATAGTCATTTATTTATTATTCTAATTATTGGTGTTATTAAATTCTTAAATTGGATGTTTGATTATTTTTATTATGGTATGAAAATGGCAAACTATTGAGATTTTTGGATGTGCTTTCTATTCTTTCTATTTACAGAAAAAAAATTATTGATTACTCATGTTTGCTTTTTAAGAACTAGAGTTAGTAAAATGTTTTATTTTTATAAAACCTTTGGAGGGATTTGAATTGACAAGTCTTTTTTTTTTTTTTTTTGCCAGACCATTAATTAAACTCTAGAAATATATTCAAATCTTGCAGGTTTTTGTGCAGCCTTACCTTTACATACGATCCAATGAAGCATATTTCCTTCTCATTCAAAATCTAAATTGTATTTTACTTCCTTTTTTTTTTTACAACTCAACATGTAGATGTGGTAATAGATTGGTTTTTAGGATATATTTATTTTAGAAAAAAAACTCTTTGCTTTTATGTGTCATATTGTTAAATCATTCATTCTTTTAATGTCAATTTACAAGAGCTTTTCAGATTTCTGTCGTGATCAATCATTAACTGTTTAAAGTTGCCTCCTTTTTTGATTGAGAAACAATTTCATTCATATTTCAAACAACATTTTTACAGAGTTGATATATTAAACTTCTTCTTTACATCCCCGATCAATGGTTTAGAAAGACTAGTTTTACTAAAACATAATTCATGTATTTAATAGGAGATGAGCTCGACTGTGAGATTTCCAAAAAGTTGCCAACATTTCTGTACCTTATTTTAAGACATAATCAACCTCTTCAAGAGAAAGACAAGCTAAATGAGCAGCTGACATCTATGATTAGAAAAAAATCAAACTTTTTAAAACTTTCAACTTCATCTTTAAATGTAAGTATCCAACTTGGGAGTTTCCTTCCTTCTGAAACATTATCAACACAGTCAGCTGTGTTTTGAGCATGACCTGCTTACCCCTGGATACAATGTTTTGACTGAAAAGAGATTTTATTTTTTTCCCACTGATATCAGGAGAGCAACAAATCCTCTGATTGATGTCACTAGCTGATTATTTAATGCATGAGTTGCTATCATTTAAGTTTTTCTATTAGAGAGGCATACTATATCGCTGTTATGGCGCAGCTTTTGCTTGTTTGGGCAACAGTGGCGTCGGCTGAAGGAGTTTACCCTGGCAACCAGAGGGTTGTAGATTCAAGCACCCGGCTGCAGCTTCCAGTGTCGTTGTATCCTTGGGAACCAACTTCAACTGCTTTGTCTACTGATAGTGGTCAGAGGGACTGGTGGCGCCAGTGTATGGCGCTTTGGTCAAGTTTTCTGACTTAAAAATATGCTATATAAGCACAGGCCATTTACTATTTGGTAGTTTTATGGAAACATGACACTGCTGCAGTGGAGTGTTGTGTTTTTTTTCAGGCTGATGAAAAAAAAACTTGTGTTTATTCTACTATTTACAGGTTTGATATCTACTCTCTGAGCCCAGATGCAGAAGAGGACGAGGCTGGCATCAAGAGCGCTTCAAAGAACAGTACGTTTATTTAAGAGTTAAACAAGCCTTGCACTAAGTCTGCAAGTAAAGGTTATTTTGATAATTGATTAATCTGTCAATATTATTTTTTTAAATCAATCAAAGAATCATCAGATAGCAAAAGTAGCTTTATTAAAACATTTCTTTTTTACAGTATTTGAGCCGGGTGAAGCTTAAACAATACCTCTTGAAGGATACATAATTTTTTACATTTTAAATGCAAATTGCATTTAAATGTTTATTCAGGTTTGCCTTAATTACTGCTTTCAGTAGATTGTTCTTTTTAGAAAATGGCAGGTTTTAGAGCCTGTCTTTATTTATAACTAAATTAGCAAACAGTTATTTCAGCAATCAGTAAATCAGGATTAATCAGATGTTTTTTTTTTTTTCTAGTCCTGCTTTGCGCCCATGTTTTCCATTGATATATATATATTTTTTATTTTGTTTTGCAGTTAAAGCTTTGATAGATCAAGAAGTGAAGAATGGGATTCCCTCACACAGAATTATCCTGGGGGGGTTTTCTCAGGTATTCGTGCCCTGTTTTGAAACTGTGTTATTTAAGTCTCATATACAAGATTGTTTATATAACATGTATTTGTCTGAATCAAATAATTTAAAGTGTAAGGCTTTGGCTGAGAACTTGGCTAAAATTTATTTTACTCTAAATATTAGCTTATTTGGTCAGGATAATCAAATGAAGGTTGCTGTTACTGGGCTCTTTAAGGTAGCTTCTATAAAACGAAGATCCAGGGAAGACTTTTTCTAGCGAATTTTTTACTGTTTATATATTTAACAAACAGGAAGATGGTTTACTTTCCCTGTAGCTGATCAGTTGTCAGGGAAGATGGAGAAATTCACTGAATTCAGCTTTCATTTTAATCATTAAAATGTTTGATACAGTGTTTCAAAGATATGAAATAGGTGGATCATTTCAAAACAAAAGTAAAACAAATCATTTAAAATGTAAAGCTATAGTGGTTAAGAAATAATTTTAATGAAAAAAAATTGAATAAACCTTGGCAATTAAAAGCTCAAAATGTATATAAATGATGGCTTAAATGGTTCCATTTTTTTTATAGTTTATATAGAATGTCCCTTTAAAAGCCTGGAAAAGTATGACATTTGAAATAAGTTGTTATTTTTTTATTTTTTGGATGTTTAGAAAATATAAACAGTTTTTTGACATGAATACAGAATCTTTTGTATTGTATATAGACACTAATAGTCCTAAACTCGGCTTCTCCTCTAATTTGGAAATGTGTTTGTCTGTGTGGGTGAAAGTAATGATTTGTTCTTAATAACTATTGATTTGCTTTTCTCAGGGTGGAGCTTTATCTCTCTACACGGCTCTGACATCTCAGCAGAAGCTCGCCGGTGTGGTCGCTCTGAGCTGTTGGCTTCCCCTCCGTAAATCCTTCCCTGAGGTAGGAAAACATAATAAAACCTTTTTTATTTTTAGCATTTAGTAAGAATGAGTTTACACTAATACTCTGGAGCAGAAAGTGACCTTAAAAGTTGGAAAATATTCTTAAAAATTAACACACAAAGCATTTTTTTTGCTGAACCACCCCTTTAATGAAAATACACTGTAGGGGTATTCCATTCCTGCTCATAATCTGTCCTAATTGGATCATAAGAACGGTCCTAATCTCTTTTATCCTTAGGCGGCAGCCAACAGTGCTAACAAGGACATGCATGTCCTACAATGCCACGGGGAAGCTGACAACTTGGTCCCGTTTATGTTTGGTGTCCAGACGGCAGAGAAGATGAAAAGCCTCATCAACCCGTCCAACATCACCTTTAAATCGTACCGGGGCCTACCTCACAGTGTGCGCCCAGAGGTCAGTGTGCAGACGGCGCTCCCTGAGTAACAAAACCTCTGATTCAGTCAGAGATATAGTCTGCATCATTTTCTACCTCTGCAGGAATTGATTGACGTCAAGCAGTTCATAGAGAAGCAGCTTCCTGACATCAGCGATGAGTGAAGAAAGAGTGCCCCCCCCACTCACCTACTCGGTACTGTTCGAGTCTGAATCTGTGAGATTCGCTGGACTTTACAACCATGGACCTGACAGTAAATCTGCTGCTACTCCATAGACCATGTGGCCCTGGCAGTTCCTGTTAGTCTGCAACAGGAGGCAATGCTGCAAACGCACTGGAGCCACAGACTCAACCCTGTGCAACAGTAGAGGGACGCTAGGAGCTTGATTGCAAAGCATGTTGCCACTGAGACTTTTTTTGTAGGAACCATATGTATTAAAATAACTAGGGCTAAACTTTTGAGTTAAATACTCAAACCTCTTACAATAAATTATGTATTGTAAAAAGCTGTTGTATTTCAAATATGTTTTTTATTAGTAGCATATTTAATGATCTGAGTATTATTAGTAAAACTGCCTTGTTTCTAGAGATGCACTGACCAGGCATTTCCTGGGTGATATCAATTCTCCTCAAGGTCTTACATTTGTATTTCATTTTTTTATTTCATTTAAGTTAGTTTGGTCTCTTTGGACTTTAAAGTCTAATCCATAAGTTTACAAAATGGTTGAGGGAGGAGGTTTGAGAGGGTAATTAGCATGCTTTAATCTGTGGGTTCATGGTACTAATGACATACCATATTGGGGTAGGTTAGAGGGTAGAATGTTGTCCTTGTAATCTGAAAAGTCTGGGATGATTCCAGTTCATTTCTGCCAGAGGTTCCCGGCCGAACCCTGCATACGGGTGCGCGATTGTGAGGCGATTGGTTCTTGTTTTAAGTGAACAGTGCGACAAAAAAAAGTCTTCAGTAAATTCCATTTATTTACCACTTCTGTCCAAGTTTTAACCTTCCGACTAAAACTTTCACTCTAAGAGGATACTTGCCACCCATTCTAGAAGAGGAAATGGAAATATCCATTTATAAAACAAAGTGAAGAATTGTGTCCTTTATGCTTAACTCATCCCTGAGGGAGCCTTGGGCAGCTGCACTTATTAACACACAGGGACCATTGTGAGGTTTAAAGTATTGCCCAGGGATCCAGAATGACATTCTGAGGTCTGAGAGACAGACACTCCGCTCTATAAACACTAAACCACCACTTAGATTCTAGAACGGCTTACTGCCATGTGAGCTAGATTGACCTACTTGGCCAGATTGACAAGATCTGCATTTTAAAAGCTAAAAACATTCCACCAACTGTTAAGCATGGTGGTGGCAGAATCATACTGTGGGGACTACTCAAAGTCCATCAGTGTCTCAAATCAACAGTTGGAGGACTGAAAGCTGAACAGTGTGAATTATTCCAAACACATCCTAATTATTGTTCGTTCATTTATCATAAATTATTCAGTTTATCATCCAAACTACTTTTGAAAGAGAATAAGCAGGCCAACATTAGGTTTCTGGACCTTAACCCTATAGTAAAAAATTCAATTATAGATAATGTCTGAGCCGGTGCTTGACAAAGTGTAATCAGCTAGGCAGATTCTGCCATGAAAAGAGGTAAAATAAGACAGAATGAGACTAGAAGCTTGTTGGTGGCTACACACTCCATGTAGTCAAGGTAAAACCTGATTAAACAAAATTGAATCAAAAGGGTAAGAAGGTGTATCTCAAATCCAAGCCAGCTGTCCTGAAAAAAAAATTAAATGAATGACTAATTATTAAACGAATAGTCAATCCAACCTAGAAGCAGAAACATAATACATCTTAATAAGCCCCACATTCAGAATGTTCTTGCACATCATTTGTATTTTCTATCTGTGTAAGATGTTCATATGGATTACCTGGTCTACCTAATAGGAATAAGAATAAAATCACTTAACATTTGGTTGATGCTCACGTCATCAAGAACATACAATTGTGCTTTATTTTATTCATAAGAATTCAAATAGCTATTTCACACAAATTCCCCTTTTTTTAATCATACATAAATATATCAGTGTTTAAGGTCATGAATTCAGCATATTTTTCCCTGTTCTGTTGAAATCAAATATATGACTAATATCACAGTATTGAAACACAGAGACAAGATAAATTTCTGGGTATCAGCTCGAGTTGTAAAAACCTTTTTCTTTTTTTTATTCTTTGAGAAGAGCTGAAAGCACCAACATGTGAACTCAATGTCGCACCGTTCACGTCAGACTAAAAGGTGCTTGTGTAGAAGATGTTGTTCCAAGGCACTTTCTTTTCTTCTTAAGGTACATTTAAATAAAACCTAAAGGTTTTCTACAAGAACTGAATATGCATTAGGCTCACAATATACCTAAATACAAATGCAGTGCTCACAGATACATGCTTTCCCGCTTTAAATAAGGTAGAAAAGTGCAATGTCAAGCGCTAGGGAATATATTTATATATGTATAAAAATATAGATATGTTTTTTTTTTTTTTTTGTCTAAACGATTACAGTAACAGATGCTGAACGTAGCATCCTTGTTCTCGGCTGCTGTCAAGGATTTGGAAATCCACTAATCACGCAGAAATAAACAGCAGCTACCCTCTAGATAAAGACTGGCTTTCAGCTGCGTTCACTTTCCTGTCTGTCTGTCTTTCTATAAATAACAGGTCTCTGACCTTTTTACACAAAAAGCTGCTCCCGTTTTTAAAAGTATGTGTGTGTTTCGAGGGTGGGGGGGGCTTATGCATGCGCTGAAAAGCTAACGGTGTGGGTGGGAGTGAAGGGGATTTATGGCTCAGGGGGAGGCTCCTCCAAGCTCTTCAGCAGATCTGTGTATGCAGAGGAGTTTATGTAGCGAGGGTACGAGTCTCTCTGCATCAGAGTGTAGATCTGCTGCTGAGCGTCGTCGAACGTGTGCGAAGTCGGCTCCAACATGTTGCGGTTTATCACCTCTCGCACGCGGGAGTCCAAGCTGACCTGCAGGGCAGAGAGAATGAGAAACCAGGTGTGATGCTGAACTTAACCAAATACAGTAGCTGGTCCTCGGCTGGTCCCCTACAATTCCTTTAAAAGCATCAATATTTGTACTGAAATATTTTGTCATGATTTGTGGATTGGATCTAAAGAGAAGTGCCTTCTCCTGGTCAGACCCTGCAATTCAGTGAAAAGGTGGAGTCAGTAAAACAATATTCACACCCAATAGCTGGAAGTTGCAGTGAAGTGGGCTGCCATTCGGCTGGCCTTTGATTAGGAAGTGCCATTTTGAATGCTAATCAGCTCTGATCAACTGAACAGAAGAATCGGATAACTAATATAAAAAAAAAAAAAAAAACTGCTGATTTTTTCTCAGTTTGGTTTCTATGATTATGGGAATCCAACAAATCTGAGTTGTACAGATTGTCAACAGGTGAAGAAAAACCCAATCAAAGGAAAGATTAAACTCATCATTCATGAGGTCAGAACAACAATTAAAACACTGCAGGCCTCAGCTTCTTCTTTTCGCTTTTGATGACTCAACAGTTAGACAGAGACTGGGAAAAAACTGCATCAATGGAAGAGTTAGCAGTTTTATTAAGGATACCTTTTGTAAGCCTTTACTGAAAAATATCTTTACAGTAGCTCTTTTATTCGAACCTTTAGGACTCAAACGTCATTTGATGAGTCGACAGACACCTCAGTAGTTAAGTACAGATGCATCTACACTACAAAAATGATCTAGAAATATGTAAAAATGTCTTAAATTAAGTGTATTTACCTTTAATTTAAGTAGGAAAATAGGATGATTTGCTAATTATGACTGAGTAGTTTTACTCTAAGAATACAATTAGATAATATTCACTTGAAACAAGACAATGCAATTTTTTTTTTCTTATTTTAAATGTAAAATGTCTTATTGTATTGGCAAAGTGTCTCACTTACCTCCTCAACTGAAGAAAAATATGCATTTATTCTAAGTAAAAATTAACTTATCTAGATTTAAATTTTTTGCAGTGTATAAGCCTATAGCCTATTGTTTCTGAATGTACTTTGGGTCGGAAGTCCCTGTGCTGTTTCTAATGTTGTAGTGTCAAGGGCATCCATGTAAAAAAAAAAAGATGTCAAGTATGAGCAGGAGCTGCCAGAACGAGCAGAAGAGCGCTGCAGTTCTGTGTTTTGGACACAGATGACTATCGTTGGAATACTCCATCATACCTTTTAAAAAAGAAGCTTTTTAACAAGACAAAGATGGTGGTATTAGTGGGATGGTCTGACTAACATGCCAAAACGGATGGAAGCAGGAATCTAGCTCTTTTGTTTTCTGTCTTTCATTGCTGCACAAACTGATTAATCCAGGTTTCTGGCCATTTACATTATGGTTACAGTAACAGATTTCTGAGACCAATCTGTTATTCAATTTATTAATCCCAGAAAGACTCCAAAATAGTCTGGAAGACTACAGTAGCAGCCATAAAAAAAGGCCCTTCTCAGTCAAATGCCAACCGAATGGCAGCCCACTTCCCTGCAACTCTCAGCAAAATGCCCTCCAACTTCCACCAATTGGGTGTGAAGATTCTTCACTCTGATTCCACCCTTTCACTGAATTACAGGGTCTGACCAGCAGAAGGCACTTCTCTTTAGATCTTAATGTCCACAAATCATGACAGTATATTTTAGTACAAAGATTGATGTTTAAAAAGGTACTGCAGGGGGCCAGCCAAGGGCCCATAAAGGAAAGTGGGGAATTTTGAACGGCTACTGATGTTTCAACGTAAAGCTGCAGTTAGTGGAAAATCTTCCAACTTTGAGGTCTATTAGGATAAAAAAAAACAGCAAGGCAGATGAATCCCCAGACTGAATCATTTAATAACTACATAATTCATTCATTAGATGATTCATTTTGTGTCTAATTATTTCCTAATGAGTTTTGTTCTAAATTTATCCATATTAGACATAATGTTAGACCTGACCGACATGTCTTCTGTGTCTCACCTCTTTAGGGGAAAGAATAGAGATGAAGTCCTCATATATTTGGCGGACTTTCTCTTCAACCACAGTCTTATTGGTTTCTTTTTTCAGCTCTTCGCAGGCGAGCCAGAACATCATGTTCTCTTCGCTGAACTCCGTCCTTAGGAACTGCCTGAAGCAGCTTCGCCCAGCTGCACTTTTCATCAGCCTTTCAAACGACACCGCCCAGGAACGAGCTTCGTCCAGATTGGGTTTCAGGCTGGGAAATAAACTAGCATTTAAGTTTTTATTGACGGTTTGATTTTGTTGAAGTCATTTTTAAAGAAGGGATGGAGGCTTACCTTTCTTCACAATTAGAGTTCTCCTCAGGTCGCTGCTCAAAGGTTGATCTCTGTGTGGTTTCTTCCTCACCTCTAACAGTCAAGCTGAAACAAAGACCCATTTAAATGACATGATAAATAATGGAAAATAGAGCTTTCACACCAGCATCATTGTCAGTTGGAACATTAAACTCTGTCCTTTTGTTGGTAACAATTAGAATGTTAACCAGAATCTTGAGTCATTTCTTTAGATATTGCCTTAAAGTAGATTAATTTCTAATTAAACATTTTACAGTTGTCTTCATCCATATATGTCCCTGCAATGGTTAAGCTTTTTTGTTTCTCTGATTTTCATGTTGCACCCTAAACCAATAATGGATAAATGATACATGGTTTTTATATTGTTAAAGTATCTTAAGACAAAGTTTTAAACTGAATTTGACTTGTGGAGAATGTTCTTTTTCAGGGTGGATCATCTAAATAAGTGGTCCTTCTAAGTGTCAATCATTCTGGTGATATGTTTACATAAGGCTGTCCTATGTGCTCATCCTTAGGTAGCTATCTTTTTATGCACATGCGCACTTTCAGGCATATATCTGTGGTGAGCTACAGTTGAGCCAGTCATTGAAACTCGCTTTCTCATTCTTTGAAAATGGCAGAGGGTTCGTAAGAGAAAATGTGTCTACGAAATGTATAAGAAGAAGAGAAAGGCCTCAGTAAAGATAAACAAGACCTGAGTGTTTTTGGGAGATTCTTTTATGAGATGGTGTACACTGAAAGCACGGGTCCGGCTTCCCACTGATGCCTCAGTTGCAGTTTCTAGTCAACATGTAAAGTTTGGCATGCTATTTGGAGAAATCCATTTCACATCCCTGCTAGTAAAACGAGAAGAAATGGGCTTGTGCATGCTCTTGCAGGTGTTTAATACTGTAGGCGTTCTCTCTCGGGAGCAGGTACAGGGTTGTGCATGTGCATTTTTTTTAAGTGGAGAGGGTAGGTCTTTTTTATTTGTGAAACTACACCTACACCTTTAAACCATTACTAAGTAACTTTTTAACCCTTATCAAATATTTTAATGACTTTTGTTCCTATACGTAAACTTATAACTAGTTGAATGACACCTCTGTCATGGCCTTAGGGGGTCTGCATCACTTTCAACGACATTAAGCAACTCAGAGGAGGGTTGCAGTAACCCTTCCACACAAAACTACAAAGGTCCTAAAATTTTGCCTGCATTTCGTAATTTTCCAGCCATCTCCTTTTACTGATGGAGGTTCAGAAAGTGATGAAAACTGCAAATTCAAACTGAACTCCAGAGAATCTGAAAGAGGCCAAACTCGACCATGTTGGTAGGAATGTGGTACGTGACTTTGCGACGGAGGTCTCCCAGTTTAACCCTTTAAAGCCTGATCCAAGAATAAAACAAAACAGAAAATTACTTTTTTTGGGTTTGAATTCCTTATTTGCCCTTTTAACAAAGTATGTAAAAAGAAAAAACAGAAATACATTTTTGATATTAATAATTTATTACTATGCGATAAGTCAAGATTATTTTTTGTGTAGTCTTCTACTGGCTGTTATCAGGTATACCTGATTGTGTACAATAGGATTTTGAGCAAAGTTTTTACCATTAATTTATGCAAAACATTTCAGAAACCGTATGTATCAAATACGATACATTTAGCATTACAGGGTTAACAAGCGGAAGCGTGATGGCAACTCTGCTCATCCAGCTCCGTGTAAGACTCAGGCAGGGAAGAAAACAAAACCAGATAAAAATGAGTGAATCTAGTTTCAAATGAAGCCATTCTTCAAGCCGTTTTAATCTTGAAGAGAGTGGAGGTTAAGGTTGTGGATCTGAAGAAGCAGATGAGACAGAGGAGCACACTGCTTGCTAGTTTATCAAAGGCAGTCCATTTCAATGCAGAAGAGGTTTAAGAATGTAAAGAAAAACTGTGAAAAGATTGAAGCAAAAAAGGGTTTTCACAAAGAAAAAAGTTTCTGATTTGAGAGAGCGAGTGCCAGAACAAGAAACATATCGAATGAGATGGTGTCTGTGCATCAGAGGTTTGGAGGAAAGAAGGGGAGAGGACAACTGTACAAAAGTCATTCACATTCCTCAGAAAATTCTCGCTGAGCTAAAAGGAAAAATGGAAGATGCAGTGACCAACAACAGAAAATGACACGTGATTTTTCTCTTCACCCACAGATGAGTGAAAGAAGACATCTGGAAGAGAAGTAAAGGCTGGGATGTTTGCAAAAAAACGGTGATTCAGTTTGCATAGATGATGCCAAAAGAACACCTGAAAGAAAGGAGAAAGATGTGGCCTAAGACTGAGCAGACACACATCTTCATTGAGGGTCTCAGGATGAAGAAGGCTAACAGATCCAGACGGAGAAGTTCTCAGGACGGACATGTTGATGTTACTCACTGCTTTATTGGTAACAAAAGCTAACTGCTGTTAGTAGGCTGAGGAGTTCAGCCTATAACTGTGTTTAGGCATTTTTTTCCTATGTGTTTTCATTATGATTAATACGTTTTCATTCAGTTCTTTAAATTATTGTTAAAAGAAAGACACTTCTTTGTTCCATAGAGGGGAAAACTGTCACTGCTTTTTGTTACAAAAACTCATTCAGTAGACAGGGCTGAAACGAAAAGACGTTATTCAGTCATGGTTCAAATAAATCTGGTAGTGTTGCATTCTCCTTTATCCGGTTTCCAGGGAAATCAGGGAAATTTTATAACATAAAACAGATCTAGCTGGTCAGTGGATACGTGTGGTTTTAAAATCAGAAGACTGACTTTTTTTTAATTACAAATGTCTATGGATACAATGACAAATTGAAAAACATCATGTTAATGGACAGTGCAACTGATTTCATAATGCAGCTTAAAATCCTGTAAGCGGGAATATGAGTCCAGATGAAAGGAATGACTCAACGAGATTATCTGTAATATCATGCGAGAAATAATCTGATTGATATCTGGATATATCTAAGCCCTGGTAGAATGAAGAATCTAGAATTGTTTATTGGATTGTTGATTTCGAAATAGCCAAGTGTGTTTCAGCTGTAACCATTTCTAAGGCACCACTTTCAGACCACAGCTGTATAATCTTAGCACTAAAACCCTCCATAAAATTACACAATAACAAGAGCTACTGGAAGTTTAATGCAGGTTTATTGATTAATGGGGACTACTGTTCAGAAGAAATTGTTCAGAGTATGGAAAGGCGTGGAACATTTAAAAATTATATTAACAGTTGGAAATATATATTGTGTTTGAAATTAGAAAATGTTTGATTTATTTTAGCAAAAAATACAGAAAGAAAAGGAGAACATTATGAAAGCAGCCTTCAGAGGGATATTTCACAATGCTGTGGTTCATTGGAGGATAACGATGAGGATAAGATCAGGTTTATTCAGCTTCAAAATCAGCTAGATAAAACTTATTTGAAAAAAGCTAGAGGCGCTTTCATAAGATCTAAAGCCAAGTGGTTAGAGGAGGGTGAAAAAAACTTTTGCAAGTTAGAAAAAAGGAGACAGGAAAGAAAATCAGTAGCTTGTCTCATAATGAATGCAACAGAATGCAAAGATCTGAAGGAAATTGAAAAAGAGATTTTTAAATTTTACTCTACCCTCTATGAGTCCATCTATGAGTTTTATTGGAACATTGATGCTTCATTATTTGAACAAATCAAAGAACTTACTCCACAACCTTTAAAAGGTTATGTGAAACTACTTGATTTTAGGAGTAACAAGTTAGATGCAGCTATTAGCAAAATGTCCCTGAATAAAAGTCCAGGGAACAGACAGACCCACAACCGATTCTTACCAACATTTCTGGGCTGATATCAGGTAAATCCTGTTTAAATAAATTGAGCAATGTCTGGAAAAGGGTGAACTGACAGCAAGTATGAGGCAGGGGCTGATAATCTTAATCCCCAAATCTGGGAAAGATCAAAGGTTGTTGGACAACCTCAGACCGATACCTCTGCTTAATGTCGATTATAAAATATTCTCAGTCTTGACTTAAAAAAAGGCCTCTCAGCTGTTCTTAACTAACTATTATTATGAACTAACTAGTGAATCACAGTCAGGGTTTTCAAGGGACAATTCATTCATAATAAATTATTTAATAAATAAATAAAATTGTTACTTGATTTAATGGAATAAAAAGAACTGATACAAAAAGAGGGTTTTATTCTTTTTTTAGATTTTTACAAAACTTTAGATTCTTTGAATCACACATTTATACTTAAAAAAACCCTACATCATTTTGGATTCGGCAATAAATTTGTAAAGGTGACCGCAATTTTATATAAAGGCATAAATGGTTGAGTTACATATAGTAGGCGTACTTTATTAAAAGAGATTTATGACAAGGCTGTGGATGTTCCCCATTATTGTTTATTCTGGATGCTGAACTTCTTTCAATCTGTATTATGAAAAGTGATAAAAAAAAAACCTTTTCTCAGTGTTGAATTAACAAATTATAATTAGTTAATTGATGATTCCACCCTTTTAAAAAAATGAAGCAGAAATTCCATTCCCTTCAGATTTAATAAAGCAGTTAATGTAAATAAATTTCAACTATTGCCATTACACAATCAAACACTGTAATCCATACATAATATACATATTAAATTACAGGTAAAATATCTAGGTATTGTCATAGGCGGAAGTTCAGCTGAAGAAATTAATTGCTCTCCTACATCCACCTGTGACACAGCCAATCAGCTTTGAATCACATCTCCATGAAAGCCAATCGGCATTCAAAGTTCATCTTAAAAGGCCTCCGATTCGCACATGTCTGCTCCTGTTCGCAGGCAGCGGATACGCTGCGTGACTTCATTCAGATGACACCGTTTCAACCCACCTCCAGCCCCTCCTCCACCATCGTAGCTAAAGCTTCATCAGAAAGTAATTCCTCCTGGACTCTCACTGTGTTCCTCTGACAGAAGACCGCCATGTTGAGCCTGGTTCTGCCAGAGGTTTCTTCCCAACAGGGAGTTTTTCCTCTCCACTGTCGCTTCATGCTTGCTCATCATGGACAGGTTCTCTCAACCT